AAGAACCAAGTTGGTTTTTTTTTCTTTTTTTGGCAGAAAAGTAATAGCGAATCTCTGCTGTTGGCCAAAAGTATTTGTATAAAAACAGTAAAACCGAAGGAGCAGGTAAACAGGGTATTTATTATTCTTCCTGTTACCAGGCAGAACTAAACCTCTATCATGGTATTTTTATTTTCTAAGTGACTAGAGTGGATTACGATATGTACTAGGTTTACGTAAGTGAGGAATGAGTGCATTGCTGCTATTATACTTGGTAGATAAGGACCTTCATGACCTCTTTTTCCCGCCCCATTAAAAAATCTGTAATAACTCTAGAGCTTCAGGATCAGTAAAAGTCAGCAATCTTAGGCACACTCACCCCAACTGACTTTTTCTCCCTGTCGGTTCAGACTCCCTCCTTTTAAATTAGGACGTGTTGAGCTAAAACACTGCTCATTTTCTCTTGAATATGGTACAGTAGACAGAGCTTTGCTGGCCCAGCGAGTGAAAACCATGCATAGGCTGTGCCTGAAAAAGTTCTGCCTCTTGTTTCTTATTTAGATATTAGAACTACATGCTTGCTTTTGAGGCAGAAGTTTATATCAAAAAGGTATTTAGAAAAATAAGTCGAATTTAACACAGTCATAGGAAAAGATGTACTAGGATAAATGGTGACACTTTATGTTTAGACCCTGTCTAAGTATAGTCCTTAAAAAAGATGTATCAAGTGTGTTTGATTACTTTCCAAAGTTTTGGTATGCACAGTGGCAGTACTTTCCTAAAGGCCTTTTCTTTGTCTTTTACTGTCATAGTTATTAGATTTTTATGCCTCACCTTAGAATTTAAGGGAAAGGCCTGAGCTTGTTCCCGCTCTAGGTGCCCACTTTTTTCTTTCGGAACACATGTGAATAGACATGCAGACCCTGTGGTCATACGACAGGAAGTCTGCAGGTTACACCACCCTGGAGGCAGGAAATGCACATCTCCGCTCCCTCCCTTACCAACCCCCCACTGTTATGTCCTGTGTTCAAAGTGTCCAGGAGGCAGTTGGGACCACTGGTTCCCAGGGTTGTGTTAAAAGACTGAGCCACATGTTAACTGGATGTGGTGTGAGAATATCACCTTGAGGGTAACGCTCCCCTTTTGCACTTCTCAAGATTGTGCAGGGCGGAGCAGCTATTGTGGACACGCACAGGGTGACATCAGTAAGTCCCACAAGAAGAGCGATATAAAGAAACCTGTGGTTATAACCTCCTTGTACTGAACTAATCTTGGAGTTTACCATGTTGCTTCAAACTTCTTGTGATTGGACTAGGTTACCTTAAAGATCTCTTCTAATCTTGAAAAATCTATGAGTCTATGCTTATCATTAGCTATGATGTAAATCATTTATTTATTTTTCTCTAATCTGCAAATGTTCTTAATGCTACAACCTTAATAAAAAGCTGCCACAGGAGAAAACATGGACTTCACACTTTTGTAGGAGACAACTGACTTGGATTTTTTAAGATAATAGAAAATATGATGCCCTTACAAATAGATAATCCTGAATTATGTTTTGCAAACAACTATACCTCTTTTAAAATGCCATTTATAACCTAAAACCGTAATGAAATTTTAATGTTTTTTTTTGAGGTATCCTCTGTAGTGATAAATGAAGCTCACAATAGATTCTTATCACAGCTTTCAACTGTCACAATGAAGAACTTAGTTGTTTGCATGTTCTGAAAATGTATTTCTCTGTCACTGTGATACCCTTTTTTTTACAGGAATATTCTGTATCAGTAAAATCTCGGTCATTTAAATTCTAGACAAATATCAATTTTTATTTCTACATTACATCTCGTAAAATATTTTCTTATATACTTACCTACTTTTTTTTAAGGAAATGGAAGCTGATTTGACCAGATGAGAGGCTACTTACATAATTAACATACAGATACACTTTTCAAAGTAATAGTGAATAAAGGGCAATCTTGAAAGTTTATCATTTCATTAAATTTCTGTTTTAACGCTCACTAGTTAGCAGAATGCTATCATTTGCCCTTCTTGAAATGAATTGTTCACTTTTCAGATTTGCCATGATGATAGCGCTGCACAAACTTTTTTTTTTTCTTTAGAGATGGAGTCTTGCTCTGTCATCCAGGCTGGAGTGCAATGGCACAATCTCAGCTCATTGCAACCTCCACCTTCCAGGCTCAAGTGATTCTCCTGCCTCAGCCTCCTGAGTTGCTGGAAATACAGGCACCCGCCACCATGCCTGGCTAATTTTTTTGTTTTTTAGTTGAGACGGGGTTTCACCATGTTGGCCAGGCTGGTCTCCAACTCCTGATCTAAAGTGATCTGCCAGCCTTGGCCTCCCAAAGTTCTGGGATTACAGGTGCGAGCCACTGCACCTGGCTGCTGCAGAAACTTTTTTATGGGGAGCTCTTACCTCTGAAATTACAGAGGACAATGAGGTACAGAACAATTATCCAGCCAAGTCATGCAAGAATTCCGTTAGTCTTGGTTCCTTCTAGTGAGGTAGGGGCCAACTATAATACATTTAAGTGAAAGATGAGAGGAAGGAGTATTGATAATGAAACATTTCCTCTTTATCATTACATTTGGTGCAAACATAATTTGCCTCATTTGTTCTTTAATAGAAATGTATAAAAATACCCTATTTGCTCTCTATTTCTTTGTAATTGTCTTTTCCTTTCGTTTAGAGACCCTGTCAACTATTATAATTGTGACTTTAAAGAATACGTTCCTTCTGGAGGCAAGAGATAGGCTAGGCTATATTCACTGTTATTTATGTGCTCCAAGGTTTATTTAAAGTAGAGGTTAGAAACTGGAAGCTGCCCTTAGCTTCTTTCTGTGTAGAAAACACTCCCTGAAAGCTTGAGCTAGTGGTAGCTCATACACTGAGCAGTGGTGTGTGTGTTTTTTTCCCCACTATAGGAAATTCCTGGAATAACTCTTGTGACAGAAGACATTGCATTGCCTTTTATGAAGGTAGGTCCCTTAGAGCAAGAAACGAAAGTACAGACACATGATTAAAGCTCTGCTGCCTATTATGGTGGTTCCAAAAGGGATTGCAAATTGGCTGGGGCGGGGAGGGCAAGGCACTAGGGTGGGTTTTCTGGAGAATCCTTCCTACATGGGTGAGTGATCACTGAGTATGATAGTATGGCAATTCTCAGGAATGCTCTTTGAAGAAGGAAGTTTCCTGAAGATAGAAGAGAATTACGGTGCTCAACTTAAACCTTCCAAAACTGTGCCTCAGGCCAGGCTGTACTAGGGAGGTCTGGTAGATGATCTTTAGAGAGGCTGGTAGCTGCTTTTACTTTATTTGCACAACTATTACTCCCTCAAAATGAGCGCGTGCACGCACACACACACACACAGAATTTCCAGTCTTAAAACCATTAAGTAATGTGGGCTAGGATTATCTAATTTCCTTCTGGTTCTAAAAACAGCTTTTTTGTTTCTCAAGAGTGATCTGTATTGGCCCCCATCAACCTCTGAACATTAAGCTGTAGCTGTTAGTGTCTTTCTGCAACCTGGTGGCTTCAGAATAGTTTCGGAGTACCATAGGAGAATGGGGTGGAGTGAGTAGAAAATAATATGTATGTCGTTAAAACTAGGGGGAGTATTTTAGTGCAGTTTCCTTGAAGCTCCTTTGTTGTTTTTGGCATTTGGCATTGCCTCCTGTTAATCATAGCTTGATGTAGACTGGGAAATCTCAACTTCTGGCAGCAGGGAGCTCCGGGTGCTGATGCCTTTTATTTCCATTTGATTCTTTTGTATCTGTGAAGGGCAAGCTAGGCCTGGGCAGCTGGGGGAAGGCTGTGGCATTTGAGGTCACAGTGATTCACTGCGGGCGAGAGAGCGCAGATCGGGGCCCAGGTTAGTGGTTCTAGGTTTTGGTCTTAAGAAGAATCTCTTAAAAATAGACTGATGATCTGTGTTTCCAGGCAAAAGCATGGGACTGCTGTGAAGTCCTACTAACACGTGAAGATGAAGAGAAAAGAAAGGTTTTGTTAATAGTTTAAAAGGTGTTTTAAAAGATTCTACCCTTTCATTTTATTTATTGTTTATTGTTTCTGCCTTTTCCACTAGTCTTACCAAATCCATAATGTGTTTTTATTTTATTTTTAGAGATGGGGTCTCCTTTTGTTGCCCAGGCTGGAGTGCAGTGGCATGATCATAGCTCACTAAAATCTCTAATTCCTGGGCTCAAGCAATCCTCCCATCTCAGCCTCCTGAGTAGTTGGACTATAGTCATGAGCCACCACACCCATCCAGTTTCTTATTTTTTCTTATTTTTTTTGTAGAGATGGGATCTTGCTATGTTGCCAGGCTGATCTCAATCTACTGGCCTCAAGTCATCCTCCTGCCTTAGCCTCTCAGAGTGCTAGGATTATAGGTGTGAACCACCATGCCAGACCATAATTTTTTTAATGGACAACAAACCAGTGAAGAAAAATTTTGAAAGAAGTATCATCCACAATTCTATAGTTCCTAATGTACCAACTGTCTCTTCTCCCCCATTTCCTCTTGGCTTTTGTTATAGGTATGCATATTTTACCCAGTAGTAATTGTGATCTAGAGATATTAGATAAATTTTAGAAATTATGTTATTGTAAACATTTTTTCATGTTGCTATGTAAACTTATAATTTCTAATGACTGTATAGGATTCCACTGGATGGCAGTGTCTTTTTATTTTTATTATTTTAAATTAATAAGTGTGTGAGGAAAAACTCTGTCCAAACTGTGTTTTCCCTCTCTCGCACTGCAACAATAATCAACACAGAAAAACACTTCTGTTACCAAATGTATGGGAATTCTTTCCTCACGCACCAAGCAGCAGACAACAGCTGGGTGTCCTCTAATTCAGTTCTGACGCTACCTACCGAGAGACATGTGTCAGATCCCACAGGTTGGGGGGCATAGTCCCCAAGACTACCTTCCATACCCTCAGATACCAGGTGCAAGTCCAGGCCTCTGGAACTTCCGACCAACTGTCTTCAAGTTGGGGTTCCCACGAAACCTCTTTAGGTTTGGTTAATTAGCTGGGGTGGCTCACAGAACTCAGGGAAACATGTTTAGTGGCCTATTATAAAGGATATTGCAAAGGATACAGATGAAGAGATGCATAGAGTAAGGTCTGGAGGAAGGGGCGTGGAGCTTCCAGGCCCTCGTTGGACTCACCACCCTCCAGGAACCTCCACCTGTTCAGCTATGGGGAAACTTCCCCAACCCAGTCTTCTGGGATTTTTATGGAAGCATTCCTTTCCTCCAGGGTATGAGGTGGGGCCCTCTTAGGGGAGGGTCTTAAGATCCACAGTCAGAAAGGTAGGGGGGTGGGGCGGGGGTGGTGGTGGGGAGTGGTGGTGGGGGGAGAGTCCTGCCTTAAGGCAGGTGAAAGGAAAGCAGGAGAGAGAGAGTTTCCTGAGACTAGTCCTGGTCCCGAAGCCTAAAACACCCAATATTATAACAGTAGGCTGTAACAAAGGCTATGGGCATTATGAACCAGGGGTGGGTGGATGAAAATTAATACATACAAAACACCACAATAAGTATGTCATATTTTATTTTGAGGTAGGGTCTCACTCTGTTACCCAGGCTAGAGTGCAGTGACACAGTCATAGCTCACTGCAACCTTGAACTCCTGGGCTCAAGCAGTCCTCCTCCTTCAGCCTCCTGAGTAGCTAGAACTACATGTGCATGTCATCATGTCTGGTTAATTAAAACTTTTTTTTTTGTAGAGACAGGGAATTACTATGTTGCCCAAGCTAGTTTCGAACTCCTAGGCTAAAGCCATCCTCCCAACTCGGCCTCCCAAAGTGTTGGTATTACAGGTATGAGCCACCATGCCCTGCTGGGTTGCAGTGCCTTAACTCAATTGTTCTTCTGTTTTGTTCTACTCAGCCTCCTGAGTAGCTGAGATTACAGGCGTGCACCACCATGCCCAGATAATTTTTGTATTTTTAGTAGAGGTGGGGTTTCACCATGTTGGTCAGGCTGGTCTTGAACTCCTGACCTCAGGTGATCTGCCCACCTTGGCCTCCCAAAGTGAATATTTTTATACATATAGTTTTTCTTTTGATCTATTCCCCTAAGGTTAAGAGCCCAGAAGTAATATTGGGTGAAAGGCTATGACGATTTTTATAGCATTTGATTCTTATGATAAATTGATATTCAATGAAAGGGATGTCACACGCTTCCATGTGAAGAGACCACCAAACGGGCTTTGTGTGAACAATAAAGCTTTTTAATCACCTGGGTGCAGGTGGGCTGAGTCTGAAAAGAGAGTCAGCGAAGGGAGATAGGGGTGGGGCCATTTTATAGGGTTTGGGTGGGTAGTGGAAAATTACAGTCAAAGGGGGTTGTTCTCTTTCGGGCAGGGGTCAAAAGGTGCTCAGCCGGGGAGCTACTGAGCCAGAAGAAGGAATTTCACAAGGTTAATCACTCAGTTAAGGTGGGGAAGAAACATATCACAATGGTGGAATGTCATCAGTTAAGGCAGGAACCAGCCATTTTCACTTCTTTTGTGATTCTTCACTTGCTTCAGGCCATCTGGATGTGTACGTGCAGGTCACAGGCGATATGATGGCTTAGCTTGGGTTCAGAGGCCTGATATTCAGAGGCCTGAGCAGGATTAGGGGAGGCATGGGAATCTAGAGTGGGAGAGATTAAGCTGAAGGAAGATTTTGTGGTAAGGAGTGATATTGTGGGGTTGTTAGAAGGAGCATTTGTTGTATAGAATGATTGGTGATGGCCTGGATATGGTTTTGGATGAATTGAGAAACTAAACACAAGGTCCGAATAAGAGAATGAGAAAAACAGACACTAAAGGACTAAATTGGGAGGACATCCAATTAGAGAGGACCCAAGGGGGTTCAGTGTAATTACTTGCTTGGTTGGCAAGTTTAGGCTCTATCCTTGAGTTTTTTTATGTTGTCATATACCAGGCCAGATTGATTTAGGTAAAAACAACACTTTTCATTTAAAAATATAGAGTCTTTTTTTTTTTTTTTTTTTTTTTTTTTTAGGAAAAAGAAGAATTTATTCACTCGAGACTAAAAACTAAAGGCCTGGGCCTGAGAACTGAATCAAGATGGATTAGAAATGGCTAGGAGAGAGTGAGTGAGATTGGTAGTGTGGTGGACATAGCTGGGGGGAGGAAGAGGGTGGCGTAAGAACAGGAAC